CGCGCTTAGGACGTTTAAAAGTGAAGACCTTTGGCCCAGTGGGAAGCGGGTCTGAGAAAAACATTTGGCTGCCTGGAAAATTCCGTCTAAAGTTCACCCCAGAGCGCTGCGTTACAACGAGAAAACTGCGGGCAGCTGAAACAGTCCATAATGAACAGCAGCCTAGAAATCGACGGCCCTGCCTGGATATGGTAACAAAAAAGTTGCTAGGATACAGGCAGGATAGAAAGAAGCAGTTTTTATTCCCTCGCGGGACTTGGGAAGCTGGCTCCTGGAACAAGGTCCCCAGACACTTATCTAACACCCACCTTCCTTTGTTTTGTGGTACAAGGGACTGTGATGAGCAGCATAGGCAGGCATTCTACCACAGCCCAACCCCTAGCCTCTTCTCTTTTTATATAGGGTTTATATAAACCTGGGGCTGGCCTGGAACTTGCAAGGATCCTCCTCCTGCCTCCTGAAAAGGGGTGATGGGCACCAACGTACCAGCAATTTAGACTCTAAAAAGAACCCAAAGAAGCTCAGTGTGGTGGCTCAGGGTCTTCAATCCTAACACTCAAGGGACCGAGGTAGGTGGAACTCTTGAGTTCAAGGCCAGTCTGGTCTATATAGCAAGTCCCTCGACAGCTAGGACTATGTAGAGAAAACCTATCTCGAAACATACAAACAACCTCCCCACCCCCACATATACGTATGTGCTATGTCCTTTTTTTCCTTTCTGGTGGTGGTTTTGTTTGCTTGCTTGCTTTTTGAGACAGGGTTTCTGTGTGTCCCTGGCTGTTCTGGAACTCACTTTGTTGACCAGGCTGGCCTTGAACTCACATAGATCTGCCTGCCTCGGCCTTCCTTGTGCTGGGACTAAAGGTATGCACCACCACACTGGGCTTGCTAAGTGTTCTTAACACAGACACACACAGACACACACACACCCCAAAAGTACCGAGGAAGCATTACCCAAGAGCATAAAATAGTGTGTTAAGTGTGCTCCTTAGGGAGATGTTCACCAAGAGGGTGAACAGATGTCTCTGGGCCGGTGAGACAGCAGGGGATGTTCCCTTTTTAATGAGTGTAAGTACCAAGTGTAAGTACCAAGACAGGCAGGCTTTTTTCAAGAGACGGAGAGAACTGTCCGGAGAAAAAGGAAAATCCTATGCAGATACTAAAATTGAAGAGACTGACACTCTAATTTCAGCTAAGAAGCGGTTACAGAAGAGATTGTTGTCCGTCAGCAAAAAGACTAGAAAAAAAAAAAAAAAAAAGGCCAAAGGAAACCCCGGGACAAATGGCTAACTGTGGTGCCTATTAGCATGCAAAGCACACACTGGATAAGTCTGTACTTGTGGCTTCTCAGCTTCCCCTACCCTAAACTCCAGCTCCTGGGTTTCCCTTCTCCCATATAACCCTCCCATTTTGGCCGTGTGCCCTCTTTGGCTGGCTTCGGTCTACTGGTCAAGTTCACTTTCTCTCCCTGCTCTGGACCCTCCAAAAGCCTCTGAGTATACACTCTACCTCACATCTACAGTAAAATCTTTGGCAACCATACCATGGAGTGGCCATGTCCTCATTTCATTAAGATGTGTATTGTCTAATGTAACTAGTGTAAGTAACTGGGGACTGTGTCCATCTACAGGTCAAATTGCCAACAGAGCCAACAGTGTAAAGCTCACTTTGAATGGCCTTTACTACCTACAGCAAGCCCAGGTGGATTAGTACTTCCCACTGATAAGCCACGTGACTGCAGATGGCTCTTGACCTGGAATGCCTACATGGGGCTCTCAGGGACACATTCTTATCACCTCTGCCACCAATGTGGCCTGCTCCTCTCTCCAGGACATCACAGTCCTTAACCCTTGCTTCTCCTAGGCCCTGCTTCTACTGAAGGCATCTTTGGAAGCTTCCATCTAAATCCCAGGACTATCTGTGTACCACATACTTAAAAGAGTTTGCATCCTTCAATTCCACTGTTAATACTCTGCACCGGCCAAGGTACTGTTGCAACTCACCACACAGGGTGTTGTTCCAAACTCTTCTTCCTAAACACATACACAGCCACAAGGTGGCTCAGCATGTTTGCACTTTCCACCAATTGCAGTAACTAATTTGACCCCAAGTCTCCATCTGGTGGAAGTCTGAGCATACATACAATAGAAATATAAAGACCGAGCAGTGGTGGAGCACACCTCTAAATCAGGCCGAAGCCAGCCCTCTCCGAGTTCCAGGCCAGCCAGGGGTACAAGAGAAAAAATTCCTTATTGGGGTGGGGTAATACAAGTTTTTTTTCTTAATCTAGTTTTGTCTTGTACTCACAAAGATGCAGGTGTTTAGGTATGGTCCATTTTGTGGGTCTTCCTGTACAAGTTTTGCAACTTGTCTCATGTGGCAGTGTCATTGTCCTGACTAGCCTCAAGTCACCTATTCTTGAGTCCTGGGCAGGGTTTCTCTGTGCATCCCTGGCTGTCCTGGCACCCACCCTGTAGGCCAGGGATGAATGGTGTGCACCACCACCGCTTTGTTTTTAATTACACCCATGGAACATGTATGTGCTTGTGCATACAGCCTGCACCACCTGTGGAACTGCTGTGAGTTTTTCTTCTACCTGGGATTGAACTCAAGTCAAGTCAGGCTTGCCAGCAAGAACCTTTAGCCGAGTCTTCCACTAGTGGCTAATTCCACTTTTTCAATGACTACCTGAACTAAAATGAACTTGCTTGGGCAGTGCCCTTCAAGAATGCCACTATTTATTAGTGTCCATCCTGAGTCCACCGCCCTTCAGAAAACTGTGTAGGAGAGAGGAAAGCAGACAGCCCACCCTGCAGTCCCAGCAAAGAGTTTTATTTTCCAAACCATTTTATTCAAATGTGCCAAGATACATGGGCAGCACAAATATATGAACAGGGGAAAAAAAATCACACATACAGTTATCTTAAAAAGTGAAGGTTATTCTTGGGAGATACCAGTTCCCCTCCCCCCCTCCAGAGTTCCAGCATTTCCGTTGTGGTTAAGCCTCTACTGACCTAGCATTTAAAAAGGAAACAAGAACTGCAAAAATAAATCAAAACAGAACAAAACCAAAGAAAACCAACAGCATAAAGGAAAAAAGACATTTTCCTGCTCAGATGTGCTCTTCCCAGCATCTAATTAGGAGGCGTGCTGTGCGGTGCGCTCCCGGCCAATCATCCCAATCCACACCCACACACCCTCTTCTGCAGGTCAATTACAGGGATCTAACTCATCACCATCCAGGGCGCCCAAGCTCTCAGGTGGGTGGAACCAAACAGCCTGGCTGGCTTCCCAGGAGAATGTCATCAGACTGCTCTCCTGGTGACCAAGTCCCATCTGCCTGTGTCTGCGACAAAGGCAATCTCTAGGGTCCTATCTTGCGGGCAGAAGGATGGCTCTGGCACACAGCCAGACAAGCATCAGGCCACTAGGGGGATTCTGCAGGACACACAGACACTCACTTGGGTTCTTCATCTGATAATGGTTCAGGAAGCCCAGGGTCTCCAGGGCATCGCTCTTAGAGTCCCACTCCAACAGCCCAGAGGAACTGCGCTCGCCTGAGTAAAAAGCAAGAGACGGCAGCAGGCTTAGGCTGAGCCAGCAGAAGGTGAGCTGCCAGGCTCCTCCCTTCCCAGCAACCACCCCACCCCCCAGAGGCAAAAGGGAGGAACATGATATGACTCACTTTTGCCTGAAAATACTTTCACAGAGGTTGGCCGCTTCACTCCCAGCTCATCGCAGATCTGAGGCAGAAAGGTGAGAAAGGAATTCAGAAACCAAGGACTGCCGCTAGGAACCTTCCTTCAGGTGACCAGGTCAGCCTAGTGTGCTGTTTCTAAAGACAGCTGTGATCACAAACGTTAAGGTACCCTATCATCGTACAACTCGAAGTTAGAAATAACCTCTCAATGAGGCAGCACAGAGGGGAAACTGCTTCTCAACTCCCATCCCGGCAGCCTGGTGGGTGTGAGTGACATTAAATGAGTTGCTCAATTGCTGGGCAGCATCCGTGAGCCTCTCCTGTCTCCTCTCTCCCACTGACCAGGCTCTCCAAAACTTCACCTTGTAGAGTCATCTAGATGCCCCAAGGCCTGATGACCTGTGTTCTGATTCCACCCTTGGCCAATCACCAGCCATTACTGCTTGTCTGAGATGTGCTAGAGCAGTGGACAGGCACAACGCTGCACTGTGTCTGTCAAAAAGGCCTCTGCTCTCACACGCTCCAGCTACGAGCCCTGTTTTGGTCTTTTGCTGTGTCCCCAAACCCAGGACCCTGTGAGTGGCATTAGGAATTCACAGATTACTTATAGAACAGAATGAGCCTAACTCAAGGACTGTGCCACACACCTACCTCAAAAAAGTTCTCCTCAGTCACCTCCAGGGGAGCATTGAAGAAGTGCAGCACATTACTAGGGTGCTGGATGCGGTTCTTAGCTGCCTGCTCTGGGGTGGAGAACCGATTGTTCCTTGACTCGCTGAAGTCTTTGTAACTGCAGGACCCGTCTTCTAGCCCGTAAGACTGGCCGGGCATAATGGCTGGTTGCTTGGAAACACTGAGGAAAGAAAGGGAAGTCTTTGTCCTCTTGGGCCTGCTAGAAGCTCAGCTGGTCCCATGTCGGTGTAACACTGCGGGTGCTTTAACTCACTACTGCACAGCTGAGGTGAGGCCACCCCACTTTCTCCCAGGGCTTCACAAGGAAGCAGAAACATGACTCCTACGCCTGTGCAAGCACCTTGATCTCAATCAGAACTTGGCCTACATCCCTGCCCCAACGGCTCCCCTTCAACCTGCCCTGCCGGGGATGACAGACAGCACCTACCAGACATTCATCTTCTGCCCGAACATGAAGTTGTTGTTAAGGTGAGTAATGGCTCGGTCCACAGCATAGCCATCAGCCATCTCCACCATGGCGGCCCCCGGCTTGCTTTTCATAAATTTCACCTTGGGAGAAGAGGTACAATTTAGCAGTGTCCAGCTGCCAGGGTCCTCTCCCCAGTAAAGTCAGAAGCTAACTCCTGCTCTGGCCCTAGACTTCCTTTCCTCACATGTGAATGGGGATCAGAACCACCCCAAGGCAGGTCTGGCCTAGGCATGAGCTCAATCCAAAGTAGGCAGCAGAGCCCCGGCAATGCCATTTCCACTGCAGAGCTGCCCTATGAGGCAAATAGCAAATAAAGTGTGCAGAATGAGAAAGCATGTCTTCACTATGGCATGGCATGTATCCATCACAGTATCAAAAGAAAGAAATTTCAAGTGCTGGCATTGGAAGCCTGGGCCTCCTAAACCACCTTACAGACTACAGTAGTCCATACTGGACAGAAGAAAGGCTCTGAAGCCAGGCTATCCAGCCAGGTCCTGCTTCCATATAAAAGAGTATTTAACCTGTCCTTCCCAACTACAGTGGGGTGTGTGTGTGGGGGGGAACCCCACACAAACAACTTCACAGGAAGTGCACCAATCCGCCAAGCTTCACTGTGTTGAGACGGTCACATTTGTGGCCCAGTCTCCCGAGTCTAGGGTCCCGGGTGCGCATCACCACACCAGGCTGCTTTGACTCTTATTATTAGCTGGACCAAGCCCAGGGCTACACTCCTGGACTGAGTTTGTTAAGAAACCTCAGCCACCAGGTGGAGTCAACTTCCCAGCAGAGCGCGCACAAAGGCCTGGATGACTAGGTCGCCCGGAGCTGTCTGTCCAGAGGCAATTCTGACATAACCATCTTTATGTGTACATCTATCTGTGCACTTGGCACGAAGTCCAACACTCTAAGATAGACGAGGCTCCGGGCTCTTTACTATGGGAAGTCAAACTCATGAAGCAGGCTGTCTGTGCTGCAGGAATCACCAACTACTACACAGGACACATCTCACTCTCCTCCGTCCCCTCGCTCCCCTCCATCCTTCAGCTCTTCAAGGAAAGCAGCTCACCTTCTCCACATTGCCATACAAGCAGAAGACATTGAAGACGCGATCACAGTTCATCTTAGATTT